TTGGTGCCCACGTCGTCAGTGGCAGCGCAGGGTTCAGGGGGCACACGTACCATCAAATTGCACAGCTGCAACCCCTTGTCAGCGAAAGGAACCGCAACCGGACTCCTGCCCTCAATAGAGATCACAGCGGCGATATTCGGTGACGGGGGGGCGTCGGCTGAAGCACACCCCCCCTGCACGACAGCCTACCAGCCTGTCGGTTCAGGCTTCAGTTTAGCAGCCTCAGCTCCAGGGGCGAGTAGCTGCGGCTCCCCAGGACCCACCCCCGGAGGCGCATCTCGCTGCTGGCCCACATTCAGCGTCGACCGCGGCCCCGGTGGGCCGTCACCCGTCCGCAGTGGACCACGGCCTCGGTGGGCCATCACCCGTTCGCGCACATTCAACAGTGACCTCAGCGGCGGCTAGCTGCGACCCCCTCGATGTAAAATGTAGCGGCACTGGACGCACGCGGGGGCCTGCCTGCGCCTCGGGCCTGGGGCCTCCCTCGGGGGTTCAAGGCACCCTCGCATCCCAGTTCTGGCTGCCAAGGGCTTGACTTCCCCCCCCCCCCCCCCCTTGCACGCTTCGTATTCTCGGCGCCCGCTGTCATCAGTTGCAGCGCTGAGAGCAGGCGCGTGAAGGGTGGGCACTGGCAGCTGCTCCTTCCCGCCCAGCCAGGCGGCAGGTGGCCGACGTGATCTGTGACTATATTGGGATCCGTGTGTGTGTGTGTGTGTGTGTGTTTGTGTGTGTGTGTGTGTTTGTGTGTGTGTGTGTGCGTGCGTGCGTGCGTGCGTGCGTGCGTGCGTGCGTGCGTGGGCGTGTGTGTGTGTGTGTGTGTGTGTGTGTGTGTGTGTCCTGCGGGCACCCCTTGGGCTCCTTGTGACACACCTACGATAAAATCGTGATGTGCGGCGGTCAGCTGCGACCCCCGAGTCAGCGCAAGGGACCGCCACCGGGCTCAGCGACCCTGGACGCACGCAAGGGCCTGCCTGGACCACGGGCTCGGGGCCTCTCACGGGGGCTCAAGGCATTCTCGCATCCCTGCACTGGCAGCCAAGGGCCGCCCTTCGCCCCCCCCCCCCCCCCCTGCACGCTTCGTCCTCGCAGCGCCCGTTGTCACCAGATGCTGCGCTGAGGGCAGGCGCGTGTAGGGTGTACACTGGCTGCAGCTCCTCCCCGCCCAGCATGGCGGCAGGTGGCCAACGTGTTCTGTGACTGCAGTGGGATCTAAGTGCGTGTCCCGCGGGTTCTCCCGGGGCCCCTGCATCCTGGCGCTGTCCTTCCCGGGGTGTCTGCAGCTAGGCCCGGGTCCGCCCTCTGGGGCTCAGGTGCTCTTGTACCCCTGTGCTGTCGGTTCAGCGGAGGCGGAGGCGCCATCCCGTCTACTGCCATCCAATAGAGATCACAGCGGCGCTATTCGGTGACAGGTTTGTAATATGTCTCCTAGCGGCGGTCAGCAGCCCCCCCCGTTCTTCCACGCAGGTGCTCGCGGCGATTAGCTGCGACCCCCTGGATCTCAGCGGCGAGTAGCTGCGACCCCCGAGGAGATTCAAGAGACATCGTAGCGGCGATCAGACCCCCACTATGTAAATGGTGCTTTGCGGCGGTCAGCTGCACCCCCCCACTCTCCGCGCAGGTGCTCTCGGCGAGAAGAGCTAAATATGTAATGGTTTCTTGCGGCGGTCAGCTGCACCCCCTTCCCCTCTGCCCCGGTGCTCTCGGCGAGTAGCAGCTGCCCCTGGGCGCGCCAGGTGACTGGCCACGCCCCCCAGCTCGGCTGCAGGCTCTAGCCGCGGGGCATGACGATGCACCGCTCCCCTCTGGCCTGGTGGGTGTCCCCCACCTGTGCTCTCGGGGCTCGTCCGTGGCGGCCGTGTTGGCCTGTGGCCCCCTCCTCCCAGCTCGCCCCGTGGTTCGCGCTGCTCCTGGGTTTCTTGATCATTCTAGCGTCAGTTCCATTGCGTGGGGAGACATCTGGTGTGGGACCACGCTTGTGCGCACGGGCTGCGCCACGCGATAGTCTGGGGTGGCTGGCCACTCAGCCCCTGTTCAGCAGGACCCCCCTGCAATCTCGCTATGATTTATGTTGCCTCCTCTCTCTCTCACTCGTCCCCTTGCTCTCCCTGCCTGTGCTCGTGTTGCTCTCACCCATGCTCCCCGGTGCTGTTTTGGCCCCGTGCAGTGCCCTTGAGCTTCTTGGCGCGAGACGCCCATCGTGTGCAGCTGGTGTCAGAAAGATATCATATCGTGCTTGTGAATCGGTTCCATCTCCACTACGCATCAATAAACACGTTTATTGATTTTGTCTCATCGAATTGGTAGCGTACAGCGACTTTCTCTCGGACGCTGCCAATGTCTGGACGAGGGGCTCCCATCGGGGGCCAGAGAGGCTCCAGAGGTCGGCGAAGTGCTGACGGTGAGGATGATGACGAATACGAACAGCCCGAGTCACCTGCGACGGCCAAGGGTAGGACCAAGGGTCAGGACCCGCTGAATCGACTTCGCGGCAACTTACCGCCTCCTCCAGAGTTCAGTGGCGAGCTGGGCGATCCAAAGGTGTTCAAGCGCTACAGAGCTCTGGTCGACAATTTGGTGCTGATCGCCAAGAACATCATCGGTCCAGAGGAAATGGGACCCCGACTGTTCGGGGCGCTCAAGGACAAAGCTTCCGAGCACGTTGAGAACGATGCGCCCTCCACGTTTACAGTGCCGAATGGTGTGGGGCCCCTTCTCCAGAAGTTGGCATTATTCGGTCAACGCCCGTCGGTGAAGATCGGATCAGCTATGGACGATTTCTTTCATATGTATCATATCAATGCGGGTGAATGCCCGCTGCAGTTGGCGACGCGCGTGGACAGGGCAGTTCTGCAAGCCAAAGCTGTTGAGCTCGACATGCCAGACCCGATCATCATTCGACAGCTCATGAGGAGCTCTTAGCTGCATGCGAGGACACAAGCTACACTACTGATGGCGGCTGGGTCGACCTTCAAGTGGAAGCCACTGAAGGAGCAGGCCGCGACACTTTTTCCTCTGCCGCTCGCCCCTCGCAACAAGTATCAGGGTGGTCGCAAGTGGAGACCTCAGCCCAACAGTGTCAACATGACGAACAACGACGCACAGTACGACGAGGTTTGGCACGATGATGAGCAGTGGCACGAAGATGACGACCACCCAGAACCAGAGTATCACTATAGGACGGCTGGATGGTGGAGGAGAGGAGACGAACGACGACTACTAGTCAGAGCAGCTCCCCGAGGCCTTGGCACGCGAGATCCACGCGGCTTTCGTGGCGTTCAAGTAGGCTCACGACCGCCTGAACCAGGCGAATCGGGCCCGCGGATACTACAACACGAAGGGTTCGAGCAAGGGCTCCAGCAGCGGCAAGGGGAAGTCCGGCAAGGGCTTCATGTCCCGAGCCTACGGCAAGGGCAAGGGCAGGGGCAAGGGCCGCGACGGAGGTAAGGGACAGGCACGACGTGGCATGTCTCTGGAAGAGCTCAAGAAGGTGACGAACTGCTTTGCTTGCGGCGAGATCGGCCACTGGGCCGGCGATCGACAGTGCAAGGCGCCGCCCAAGCGTTCATCACCACCTTCGGTTCGGACGGCGAATGAGGCTGCGCAGTCATCCGACGCCTGGTGGCCCACTGGCTATGCTCCCCAGGAGGGCACGGCCGCCCAGCCATCGGAGTTGGATCCGGGCAGACGCCCGGGATCAGGCGCATCCTCGACGTCGACAGGATACGCAGCTAACAGATTACCGACTGTGGCAGAGTCAGATCACGTACGCCATGTCATGTCAGCAACGACGAAGATTCATTATTCTCTTGGGGCTCGGCAGCCTCAGGTGGATCACGGTGCATTTGAAGAAGCTGCGCGCGGTTGCGGTCACCGTGAGAGCCGAGGCCCAGTAAATGAGCCCAATCATATCAGACACATCATGATGACCTACGGCAATGGAGGCCAGGGATCGAACCAGACGGTGAAGAGTTTTCACAAGGAAAGGACGGTCTACATGATGACGATGACCCATAACGTTCTGAGCGCCGAGAATATCGACGCGGACGCGAACGTTCTGGTGTTGGACACCGCCTGTCAGACTACTGTTGCAGGTTTGAACGGCCTTCAGCTGTTTGTGAGATGTTTTCTCGAGCCGCAAGTTTTACAAGTGTGCTTTCGGCCCGAGCAAGAGCAGTATCGATTCGGCCCTGGCACGCCGGTCTCAACCGGTTGGAATACACAAGCAGGCGATGATTTTACACACCTCGACGATCGACGACTCGAAGTCCGTCCGCTTGCCCTTCCTCGGTGGCAGCGACCTGGTGACTGACCTTGGGTGCGTCATCGATTTGGCCAATGCTCAGGCCCATTTTTCTTGCAGTGGATCTTCCGAACATGCAGCTCGTGATGTTTAAGAGTGGACATCTCGCAGTTCGGATCGACGACTGGCCGTCTATAGGTTTTTTGACTGATGGTGGCTTTGTTCTTGATACTTATACAGTTGTTGTGTGTCAAGCTGGCCCAGTTGAAAGCGAGTCGTCGACCTCACTACCAACAGTCAGCCATCATGGACAATATCATCCAGCAGGGTATCATCATGAACAGCACCATCCAGCAGCAAGCGTGTGTTATCAAGCACACCAGGGTCATCATCAGCAGCCTCAGCTAGGTCATCATCAGCAGCAAAAACAGAGCATACACGTCCAAGCGGGAGCCGAGCTACCATGATCAGGACAACATACATAAGTTCTACAAGCATTTCAACAAGCAAAACTGGCAACAAGGCGCATCAAGGGCGGCAAACATCTACGAGGACGAAGAAGATGATGACAGGAACAGCCTAACGGAAATACACCGTAACATATCGTTCTCAGCAGAAGCTAAATACCAAACAAACACCGCAGCAGTTTGTGCGCCAAGCCAGCTTTCATCGTCAACTTCCTCAGCTTTCGCGCCGACGACGCTCTCGTCAGCTCCATATTCGTCCGAGCGTGCCACGGAAATACAAGCCAGCGGCCGAGGACATCAGACTGCAATGGGCGGTCCTGGTTCGTGCTATGCTGGTGGTCATGCGGATGTTCGCCCAGAGCAGGCGCCAGAAGCTGATCGACTCCGTGCTAGGCGACCGCTTCTCGGTGATGAAGATCCCCACCTTCCCGACGCCGCACGCAGTGAGCTACCAGCCGGACACTCGGACGGGATCATCGACAAGGATGGCATTCTTCCCGGAGGACGCGCGGACGTGCCTCCATCCCGACAACGGCGAACACGAGTATTCGGTACCAGCGGGCAAGTTCAAGGAGTGTCTCTACTGTGGGACGATCTGGAAGGCGGAGAAGTACCCGATCAAGCTGGGCAAGACACAGTCGACGGAGGCCATCTTCTGGAACTTGCACGGCACCCGCAAGACACCAGGGTCCAAGATCGACCGACTCAGCACGGCGGCATCGGCAAGCAGCTCCTACGTGCCGCCTTCCTCGTCGGCACGGCGCTCACGCCCCTCGCCCCAAGCTGGTCGCTCGGAGGTTTCGCGGAGGACTACCAGCCTCAGGCGGGCTCGATCTCCGAGTTCGGACGCGATGGGAGTCGATGGGGCTGGATTCGAGCTGGGAGCGACCGCCGGAGCCTCCACGCTCGGCGCAGGAGCCGGAGGCACCCTGAGTGCCGGTCAGGCGCGCAGGCACGTTGGCATGGCGTGGTCAGCCTACCAGACCATCAGCCTCGAGAAGGACGTGTACACGAATAAGCTCCACACTAGCAAGATCCCCAGGCGTCATCGCCGAGGTGTCGATATGCTGGAGGTCTTCGGTGGCGAGTGCGGCATCACCATTCACGCCGCCGACCGCGCTCGCGGTTGGAACATGCACGCGCTGCAGCCGATCGACAAGCTCTTCGGTCAGGACCTCAAGATTCAGCAGTAGCGGCGGAACGTCCTCAGCACGATCGACAAGTGGCAGCTTCGCCTCGCGGTCATCCAGTTGCCGTGCCGCTTGTGGACGTTGCTGAACCGCAACATCAACTACAGGGACAGGCCCGAGGTTATTGGAGGGCCTGCGCGACGAGGAGAGGTGCTTCCTGACGTTCGCCGCGGACATCTTCAAGAAGCAGAAGCACTACGGCAACCGCGCGCTGCTCGAGAACCCTGCTACGGCGGACTCGTGGCGCGAGGACGTGATCATGCACGTCCGCCGGGGCAATGTCGAGCGCACCTCCAACGTGTGCATGTTCGGCATGGTCGGCAAGGACGGCCTGCCCATGAAGAAGTTGGTCAGGTGGTTGGGTACGCATCCACTTTTGATTCAGGAGCTCGACCGCCACTGCGATAACCAGCATCAGCATGAGGAGGTTTCTGGTGGAGGACCTTCAGGCAATACCAGCAGGTCCCAGGTCTACACGTTGCAGCTGGCCGACGCGATCTGCCGAGGCCTGACGAGGGTCATCGAGTCGGAGGAGTTCTGCCACGGCGTCCACATCTGCAGCTACTACCCGGTGAGATACGACAAGCCGGCGTCTCATGTCCACCAGGTGTGCTACGCGGCGGCCAACATGGAGCCCCGCTGGCGGGCTATCATGAGCGGCGTGGTGGACATCAAGAGTCGCCGTAACGCCGGTTCGGCGACTGTTGCGAAGGACTCCGAGATGTGGAAGCAGGTGGAGGAGCTCATTCCCTGGCAGTTGCTCTGTATCCAGGCCGCCTTCCAACCGAAGGCCAAGCGGCTCCGACCAGAGTTCGGGCATGACGTCCACCGGTGCTCGGTCCTGGTTCAGGAGGACAACCAGCTGGTTATCGAGCGCGAGTACGTCCCTGACGCCTACGCCCCGCGCGAGAGGTTCCAGACACCAGTCAGGTACGCGCTCTTCGTGATCGGCCGTGCTCCTGTGGGCGACCCAGTTTCACCTCGACCTCCTGTCGGAGGCGAGTCACGCCAACCTGTGCCAGTTCCAGCACCAGGTGAGCCACAGCCTGAGGAGCTCCAACCATCTACCGTTCAGCAGCGCGCCGGCGACGAGATCTGGTTCGCAGGTCCGCCTCTGACGGCGGAGGAGATGCGCGCGGCCCCGATCGTGGCACGGATGCATCAGAACCTGAGCCACCCGCTGCAGCCCGACTTCACTCGGTTCTTGAACAGCAGCGACGCCAGTCAGGTCGTCATTGACTTGAGCCGCAGGCTTCGGTGCAGTTCGCGTCTCAGGAACGCGAAGCCGCGCCGACCGAGACTGGTCAAGATCCCCTACACCGGCGCGTTCAATTCGAGGGTCGGCCTCGACTTTTTCTACCTGCCCGACGCCGCGTACCACACTCACCAGTTCTTGAGTATTCTGAAGATGTCAGGCCTGCTTATGGTGGTTGTCTAGTGTCCGTCCAGGGACCCAGCTCACATGCTCCAGCTCTTCACCATGTGTTGGCTGTCTTGGGCCGGGTATCCTGATCACGTGGTGCGCGATCGCGACGGAGCTTTTCAGGGCAACTTCGTCGAGCACTTGGAGGAACACGAGGTGTTGGTCGAGAAGCCCCCCGCTGAGGCCCACTGGCAGTCGGGCCGCGTGGAGGCTGAAATCGCCCTCTGGGAGCACCTGGCGCAGCGAGCTACCGACGCGATGCAGCTGCCCGGCCCCGACGACATGAGGCTGATGACTGCGCCGACCAATCAGTCTCGGAACTCACGAGTGCGCCAGTGCGGAGCTTCACCATATCAATGGACTTTTGGCAAGGATCCCAGGATCCCCGACAGCATCACCGACCCTGCCAACTCCGCGGCGGTTCACAGTGCGATGACAGCAGACGCCGAGCTCGCCAAGAGGGCTCGCATCCGTTTTCTTGCGGACATAACATTCACCGAGTTTGACAGGTCCGAGTCTCTCAAGAGGTCGATGCTCCGGGTCAATCGGCCCTACCGGGCGACTACACCGCCGGCGACCGCGTGGCATTCTGGCGGCTGCCCAAGAACAAGAAGGGCAAGCAGTTCCCGGTGATCGGACCTGGCGGCAACGGCGGACCAGACGACAATAACGTCTGGGTTCAGTCGACAGGACATCCCATCCTGGTCTCGAAGGAGCAGCTGCGCGAAGCCCTCGGCACCGAGATATGGGTCCCCGACGACACCGACCTGGCCGAGCTACGCCGTGCTGCTCAGGCACCTCCTGAGCGCTATCACGACGAGCGAGCTTGGCCACCTCCAGCTGATTTGGATCCACCCGACGTCGTGGTATCCGACATGGCGGCAGCCCTAGAGGCAAGAGAGTGGCCGTGAGCGCCAACAGCCACCGCGTCAGGAAGCTCTGCCAGGGCCGCCGCCGCAATCTCATGCAGTTGAACCACCAGCGCCGGAGGCGATGCGCGACAACCTTCTGCCAGCCGTGCGACCTCTACCAGAAGCTGCAGCTGCCGAAGGACCAGCCGCGCGACGTCCTCGTTTCTCGGAGCCACCTGAGTCAGTGCCAGCGGCTGCGCCTACCTCGTATGCACCAGCGTATGTCTGCATTAACGGCACTGAGCAGGACCCCGTAGTGCCCGTGTTGGACTCTGAGCGCTACGCGCACGACAACATTCCGATCCGCGAGGTCTACCTCGCCACGAACGGCCAGTTCACCATGGCGAAGAAAGACCAGAAGGCGCTCATCAGGGAGATCCCGTGGTCACAGATTCCTGAGGATCAGAAGCAGCTCTATCGGGGCGCCCTGGCACGCGAATGGTCGTCATGGCAGCGTTTCTCAGCAGTGGAGGTCCTGGACCTCAAGACTTCCAAGCAGATCGAGCTGGACGCCAAGAGGAAGAAGCGGATCATTCCATCGAGGGTCTGCTATCGCGACAAGAACGCTGGCCGAGGTGTTTCGGAGATCGACGCGAAGGGTCGCCTCGTCGGCATTGGCTGCAACGACCCGGACATCCTGACTCTGAGGCGCGACGCGCCAACTCTGACACGTGCTGGCTTCTACATCCTCTTGCAGGTAGTAGCTAGCTGGGACTACAACCTCTTCGGCGGCGACGCCACCACAGCCTTCCTTCAGGCCGACCAGAAGGCACAGAGGGACAAGCCCATCTACCTTCGTCAACCTGGTGAAGGCCTCCCTGGAGTACCCAAGGGTGCCCTCCTGCTGGTGCGCGGCGCGATTTACGGTTTCGTGAACAGCCCCCGCCTCTGGTGGCGTGAGCTCCGTGACTTTCTGATCAGCACCAGTGGCAAGCAATGCCTGTTGGACAAGGCACTTTTCTGTTTTTACAAGGCTGGACGTTTGGTGCTGATCGTGGGCGTTCATGTGGACGATCTCAAGGGTGGTGTGGATCCGATACATGGTGCTGATTTGGTTGACAAAATACGCAATCGTTTCCTTTTTCCGCAAATGGTGGGACAATGAGTTGACTTATTGTGGGGAGCACGTTGTCAAGCAGGCAGACGGCAATGTTTTCGTCAACCAGTGCGAGTTTTCTGCTCAGTGTGTTCCGGCTCCCCTACCACGCTGGAGATCGGCAACACCAGATGCGACGCTGTCTGCAGAGGAGAAGACCAATTTCTCAAGTGGCGTGGGATCGTGTCAGTGGCTTGTTGGCCAATCAAGGCCAGATCTAGCAGCAGCGACGTCATTCGGACAAGGCAGCAATCCGACCATCTCGAACCTCATGGCCATCAACCGCATTATGCGTGAGGCTCGTGATACCAAGGGTGCTGGTCTGACGATTGTGGGTTTGGATTTCTCACGTGCAGTCCTCGCGACGTTCACTGATGCGGCGTGGGCCAATGCCCAAGAGAATCTGAGTCAGGCTGGTTTCATGGTTTTCTGTCCTGATGTGAGCTGTCTCACTTCGCGCGGTGGAGCCGCTTCGCTACTCGACTGGCGCTCTCATCGCATCCGACGAGTAGTGCGCAGCACGTTAGCAGCAGAGGCAATGGCAATGGACGAAGGCGTTGACACTGCATATTTCCTTCGACACTTGTTCGCTGAGATCCTGTTTGAGGATTTCCGGCCAGGTCTTTTCGGGCAAGCTATTTTATGCCCATCAGGGTGGCCACAGACTGCAAGACGTTGTACGATATACTCACCAAGGAAGGCGCGCCCTCGACCACGCTCGAGCGCCGCCTGAGCATAGATATTGCTGCCGTGGCACATACGGCCGAGGAGTTTGATGACGAGAACCCTAAACACACGGTGTTCTGGGTTCCCACCGATAAGCAGATCGCTGACCTTCTCACGAAGGTCAAACCGCCTGGTCAGCTTCGCGAGCTCCTTTCTCGGAATTGGTTGAGCTTGTGCTCCGACCAGAGCATGCCCTCGGAGAGTGTTTGTTTTTGTTTCAAGGTTAGGTGTCATGCCTGAAGTGACACACGATATCCATATTGGGAAGAGCGTGTTCTACCGCTGCTGGCAGAAAACCGGGGGGGGTCACTACCGGTTCGAACCCCTCCCCCCCCCCCCCCCTCCGGAAAACCGGGGGGGGGTCACTGCCAGTTCGAACCCCTCCCCCCCCCCCCCCAGCTCATCATGAAAAGGGGGGGGGTCACTACCGGTTCGAACCCCCCCCCCCCCCTCGAAAACCGAGTGGGGGTGCGGACAGTGGTGGGGACGGTGTTGGTGGGGACAGTGGTGAGGGGACAGCGGGACAGTGGTGGGGACAGTGGGGACAGTGGGACAGTGGTGGGGACGGTAGTGGTGGGGACAGTGGTGGGGACAATGGTGGGAACAGGGGGGACAGTGGACAGTGGTGGGAACGGTGGTGGTGGGGACAGTGGTGTGGGGACAGTGGGAATGAGGTGGAAACACTGGGACAGTGGAGGGTACAATGGTGGTGGAGACACTGGTAAAGGCGGTGGCGAGGACGGCGGTGGGACAATGGGACAGAGGTACAGTGGGGACAGTGGTGGGGACAGTGGGGACAGTGGTGGAAACAGTGGGACAGCTCAGTGGGACAGCGGAGGAGTCAGTGGGACAGTGGGGACAATGGGGATAGGCAGTGGTTGGGTCCGTGGAGACAGTGGGGAGAGTGGAACCGTGGTGGGAACAGTTGTGGGAACAGTGGGGACAGTGCGACAGTGGTGGGGGCATTGGTGGGGACAATAGGGACGGTGGTGGAACCAGTGGGGACAGTGGTGGTGAGGACAGTGGTGCTGGGAACAACAGTGGGGGATGTGATGCGAGCGGTGGTAGGGACCGGGAGTCGTTTGCTGGCGGTGCGTGGGGGGGGGTCGAACCGGTAGTGACCCCCCTCCGGTTTTCGAGGGGGGGGGGGGCTTCCAACCGGTAGTGGCCCCCCCGGTTTTCCGGATCCGGAGGGGGGGGGGGGTTCGAACCGGTAGTGACCCCCCCCGGCTTTCGAGGGGGGGGGGGGGGGGGGGAGGGGTTAGGGGAGGGGGGGTTTTTGCCGGGAGGGAGGAGGGGGAAAGGGGGGGGGGGGAGGGTTTCCGGCAGGGGGGGGGGGATTTTGGGAGGGGGGGGGGGGGAGACCCCCGGGCTCCGGAGGAAAAGGTTGGCAATTTTCCACAGTAAAGCGGCGGTGGATCACGCTCTCTCCCATATTGCTGTTTACCCGCTAAGCCAAGCGCAAGGTCTGTTTTTAGTTTGACATGCGTAAGCTGCCTGTGTGAACCCAGGCTCGGTCTAAACTCGTTTAATTTCAACTCTCAGAGTGTGCAGCCTCGTTTCGAGAGATTTGAGGCAAAAGAAAAGATAGTGAGTGCAATCTCGCTATGATTTATGTTGTCCCCTCTCTCTCTCTCACTCGCCCCCTTGCTCTCCCTGTCTGTGCTTGTGTTGCTCTCACTTATGTTATTTGTTGCTGTTTTGGCCCCGTGCAGGGCCCTTGAGCTTCTTGGCGCGAGACGCCCACCGTGTGCAGCCGGTGTCAGAGATATATCCTATCGTGCTTGTGAATCGGCACCATCTCCACTACGCATCAATAAACAAGTTTATCGATTTTGTCTTATCGAACCCCCCTGGCAGGCAGCGCTGGCGTCCTCTCGAGTGTCGGCGGTGTGGCACTGGGAGCTGAGTATCTGAGGGCCTGGTTCTGAGTGGTTCAGCCTTCACCTGTCCAACCAGCTGGGCCGGTGGCCTGGAATTTGGCGCCGTACCGGCGATCACTCCGCTGCATTCGCACACTCTGCTGCTTGTCCACTTCGGTTCACTGCGGCGCCTATGTTCGTTCGCTGTGAATTTAGTTCATTCTGTTCTGTGCAGGTGCAACTGCGCATTTGCTGTGCAGGTGCGAGCTGGCTTCCCAACGTAGCGGCTGTGTTCGCAAAGTCGCATCGTGCCGCATGCCCCGGACTTTGCTTCTCGCCGCCTGACCGTTGTCGCGCGGCCGCGACCGAAAGAAGTAACCCCACCAGCTAGGTAGGCCTGCTATTGCTGGGTAAATTAGGCCCTCGCGCGGCCCGCTCGGACCTTGACTCGCCGTCGGCGCGCTCGCCTTCGGCCGGCAACAAAAATTAACCCCACCGGCCCATCCAGAAACGATGCCCAGAGGGATCGCCTCGATCAGGGAAGTGGGCAGCACACAGAAGACGGGTCCCCCAGTGGAGGCCTCTTGGAGCGTCTTGGGTGCCTCGGAGAGCTTCTTGGGGCCTTTTGGGGGTCTCTTGGGAGCATCTCGGAGGCCTCTTGGGCGCCCGTTGGGGTCTCCTGGGCGCCTCTTGGGGCCCTTTTGAAACGCTCTCGGGGGCCTTGCGAGCGCTCTTGGGGCCATCTTGGGGGGCATCGATCAAACAAGAAGCGAGCATTAGCTAGCGCTGCCCTTCGGGAGCCCAAGCAATCGCCTCTTGGGGCGCTTTTGGGGCGCTCTTGGGGCGCTCCTAGGCGCTCTAGGGGCCGCCTTGGGGCTCGCTGGAGCCTTTCTTGGGGCCCTTCTGTGCCGCCTTGGAGCCTTCTTGAGGTCTCGGATGGCCATCGGAAGCGAAAAGGCGAGAAAGCCAAGCACATAGGATTTCTCAAGGTTTTGGGCTCCTCGGGGCCTCCTGGGGGAGCTCTTTGGCCAGTGGGGGCCGTCTTGGAGCGGTCTTGGACATCTTGGAGCATCGTGGGGGCCATTATGAGACATCTTGGGAGATTTTGAGCCATCTTGGAGGTCATCTTGGACGCTCCCAGGCGCTCTTGGAGTCATCTTAATCAGTGCCCCCCCCCCAGAGGCCAACATGTGGCTATTATGCTAACATTTTAGTTAAATCAGTGATTTGGCATTCTCGTTGAGGCCTCTTGGAGCATCTCGGGTGCCTCTCGGGGGTCTCTTGATAGCCTCTTAGGGGCATGTTGGGGGCCTCTTGGGGCCCCTTGGCCACCTCTTGGGGCACCCTTAGGAGCCTTGGGGGCCATCTTTGGGCAATCTTGGGTAAGATCGATCACAGGAGGGGGGGGGGACTAATTTGGGCCCCCCCCTTCAGGAGGCCAAAATGGGGCCAAGGCGATAGTAAAACCAATGATGTTGGCTCTCTCGCCGAGGCCGTTTTGGACGCTCCGACACCTCGCGAAACCCCTGGTCCAGGTCCATGGGGAGGGGGTATGGGGGAGGGGTAGAAGAGGAAGGGGAGGGGTCGGAAGAAGGAAGGGTGGAAGACGAAACTCCCTAAACCACCGACGCCCAGAGGGCTGGTGGGATTTTAGTCTGGTTCGCGTCATTTTCACGATGCCCCCCAGGGGCATGGGGCAAAAAGGGGCAAACTCGAGGCGGGCATGGCTCCCTGAAGTCCCGGGATGGCAAGCCATGCTTGAGCGAAGAGGACATCAGCACATGCATCCACGTCCATTTTTCTGTCCAGTTCCTGGACCCTGAGAGGTGGGGGCCTCCTCAATGGATCTATGGCGAGTGTCCCAATAGCCGCTTGCGCAACAACGATACGCTCGACGTCAACCAGGCCATCTCTAACATGAAGGCTGGGAAGAGCTGTTGTCGTTTCGACATGGTGGTTGCAGAGGTGGTAAAGCCATCAGCTTGAAGATCGAGCCGGTGTGCGAGGTGTTGCGTGAGGCGCTGCTCCATGACCTCCTTGGGCGCAAAACAGGACAGAGTCAAGCGAGGCATTGCTTGCAAGAGTCAGATGTGCCTCTGTGCTTGCTCCCGCCGGCGAAGCGACAGCGCATCAAACGCGATTGGCAACGTTCCAGCGCGAACAGCTGGCCTTTCAAGATCGACGTCGAGGTGCCCCTGCCCCCGAAGAGCGCTGTTTTTTCTTACCCCGAAGAGTTGCGGCCGATTGCTTGGATCCCGGTGCTTCGGAACCTCCTCGGCGACCTGGCCCTGGCGCGGACGCAGGGGCTCTCGAAGGACACCGGCACATGGCAGTTTGCTTA